AACCCTGGAAACAAAAAGATATGTGGATATATGTTTACCATAAAAGATTTTATACATCAATATATTTGATCAGACATTTAATCCATTTAATCTTAAAATGGCAAGAATATATTGTGTGTTTAATTAATCAAGGAGGCCATTAGATTGAAGCGGCTCTACTACCGTGGCCGCCTGCCTCAGCAGAACCACACCTAAGCCTGTAAATACCTCCAGGTCATGAAATCAAAATGCTAATGATGTCCGCTCTCAGCCAGCCAGCCAGCTAAGCTTTAAGCTACTGTCAAGTGAAATTTCCTTTCTTTGTTTCCACACTTTCTCTGTCTTCTGTCCGCACTGGTGCTGCCCTGTTCAAATGATTTTTGCTCAAATAAGTTACTAAAAATTTTTTAAACATGCAGTTTATCTTTTAACATATGCTGTCATTCTACTGCCACCCTCATTGTCCCAAATTTAGTGGCTTAAAAGAACACCCGGTTTCATCGCACAGTTTCAGTTAATCAGAAGCCCAAGGACATTGCAGCCCAGCGGACTCATCCTCTGCTGACGCCTCCCTGGCCAAAATCAAGGAGTGGGCAGCCTTCCCTCTGGAGGCCCGAGGACAGTCCCACTTCCAGGCTCACGCAGGCTGTCGGCAGAACTCGGTTTCTGGCCCCTTTATTTTCTAGTTTCACTGCTGGCTGTCAGCCAGTAGTACCTCTAACTCCAGGAGGCCCTCCAGGATTCCCTGCTTCAATCCTTACACCAGCCTCAGGGGGGCCAGTCCTTCTCAGACATCAAATTTCTCTTCTACGCTCTATGCCTTCTCCTTCCATCACATCTGGCTTTTCTCTCCAGGTGGAGAAGATTCTGTGTTTTTGAAGGCCCCTGTGATTAGATTGGGCCCACCCACACGATCCAAGAAAGTCTCCCTATTTTAAGGTTTATAAACATAATTGTATCTGTAAAGTCCCTCTGGACATTAATTGTAAAGACCTTTGACAGGCCATCCAGCCTACAACCAATGTAGCTATGGGGCAAGTTGATAGGAGATATTTCTTTCAAACTTGAAAAACTAAGTACAAAAACATTTCCACAAGGCACTCTTTCTCAAATACATATTCTCAAGCCTTCTGGTCATGAGGAAAAAAACTCAGTGAACCTATAACCTTCTGTGGGATCATTTTCACTCTGTAGTCAAAACATTCCTCATTAACCGCCTTTGTATGAGTTATTACAGGCCAAGGCAGGTTGTAGAATGTGTCATCAGCCTTATTCTTGAAGCTGGTGGTTGAGTGACATCACGCATCACTCATCAATGACCTCCACGCATGGATCAGTCCACACTGACTAATGTGAAAATGGACTCATGTCATTTTCCTTGGTAAGCTAAGGCAGAAAATGTTAAGAGCAGTGAAAATGGCTGTCATTAATTAAAGGTTACCCACAGGGCAGCAATGGATGGTAGCAATGCCATGATTAGGTTTCATCCTAAACCCATGATTGGGGTTCCACCACAGACAGTGAAAGCTGATTCTCTGTCTGGATACTTGCTTCCCTCTGTGTGTTTAGCATGCAATGTTCCTATGCAAGGCTTTGAAATGCCGTATCAATGAAACAATGTGTTTCCTTGCTGCTGGAATGTATGGTATTGGCAGTAAGGCACTGGCTCCCCACAGGTTACAAATGTGTGTGGTGGGGGGGGTTGCCCGAGGCCATATAAATAGGCTTAAACACATTTGCATACTGTCAGGAAATTCATTAACCTTTTCATTTCAGACAGAACTGTGTGAAGTATTCAGGTATATTAGAAACTATGAGAACAAATATAAATTGGATCGCTTGGGTACTTCGAGTTTCTTGTCACATTGAAAAATAAGCAGCACCACAGGATTTCCCATATCTACCTCTCTCCTCTTGATGCAGAAGGCATTTTGATCCATAATTAAATTTGTGCTCTTTCTTGCTAAGAGAATTGAAATATCCTACAGTGTTTTATGAGAAGTTTTGACATTATCTTTCCATTTAGAGCCATGTTACGACAGCTCACAATTTTTCCTCTAAAAGGGCATGAAAAACACATCAACTGCTAATTGAGGCCCTGCCTAGTCAGACAAAAATCTGATCTCATTCAAAGATAAACCATAGCTTATGCAAAATTTAGATGTATGAAGAACTAAGTCGAATTACCTCCAAAAAAATAATTCAGTAAAAAAAAATATATTCTGTTCCCCTGTAAATATGTCTCATTATGAAAGTTGCCCCTCCCTCCTCCTCCCCTGTCTTCTTCCCCTCGCCTTCCTCTCTTCCTCATCCCCCCCACCCCCAGCCTGAGCTCTCACAGCAGCAACTTCTCATTGTTAACTGATTAGGTACATTAACAAACCTAAAAAAACAGGATGCTTGCATTTGAGGGAGAAAGGAATTCCCAGTGAGTTTCACTAGTCATGAAGCTCAACCTAGTGTCAAGGCCCCTCTGCTAAATGGATGGTACAGGCAAGTATTTGAAATCTTCTGATAAACTCACTCCTGCCTGCTATTATGAATGAAGTCATACCACTTTGTTCATTTCATTTTCTTAACCTTTCCACAAGTACTTTACCAAGAGGCTGCTACATGCCAAGCATTGTGGTTAGTGGCTGGGAATAAAATGGTTGCAAATGCAGTTCCATCCTTGCCCTTAGGAAGCTTATAGTCTATTAGGGGGAAAGAGAATAACCAAATAATCAGTGAAAGACAAGCACACATTAGCATATGTGTCATAAGGAAAAGAACAGGTGTGAGGTGGACTGGGAGGCTTTCTGAGGATACGACCTTTTTGACCCTGAGAGCTGAAGAAGGGCAGGAGGGCAGGCTGGTGAGAGGGCATTTCTGCAGACCCTGGTGGGGAAGGGTGTGTGCGTGTGTGTTTTGCTTTGAGGAAGAAAGAGGCATATTATAAAACTTTAGAAAGAGGGGGCCACAACATTTCGGTGTCTTTCAGGAATGGTTTCATTGAAGACATTGAGACAGGGACCATGGGTGTAGTCAGAGTAGGGTGAGGGCCTCCGGGAAAAGCAGGGTGGAATATTCACAGTCAGAGCAATGTAACAATGGGCAAAGAAGTCCCCACTGAAACTCTGTGCTAAGCAGTATGCAAAGTCAAGGTCACACTAATTCTCTAGGGAAAGATACCTAAGAATATAGACATCTTCAGTGAGATCAGTTAAAGGTCAAAAGGCCAGGAGCAACTTGGCTTGGAATATTTGAGTGTTCTGCAAGGGCATCAGCATAAACTGTGACCCCGCTGTCAGCCCTGGCAATCAGACTATGACCCAGCCCACCTTGAGGACAAGGCAGGTGATGCAAGTCCACACCCCTAAGTTTTTTTCATGTTCTCGAAAAATCCTCTACTGCCTATAAAACCACCTAGACAACGCACCACTACGAGCTCTCTTGTCCCCTCCTGGTGTGAGCCAGGAGCTCTATTCTCTCACTTTATCTCTAAATAAAAGCCTGTATCTTGCTCTCCTACCTTGACTGTTTGTGAAGCTCATTCTTCTTTGGCTTCGTGAACAAGAACCCCGGCATCAACAGGACCCAGAAGAGAGAGGACTTAGTGGGGTGTGTGGGTAAAACTGCAATGTTTCCAGAATCTCTTGCCCAGCCTTAGTCCATCTCCATATCAATAGGTGATTACAAGGCACAGAGAGAGCTGTTCTCTCCTTAGTCCATCTCCAGTAGTTTCTAAGTGGTGGGTTGGGGAGGTGAGAGTGCCCTGGGGTGGGAGAGAAGTGGGTGAGCTGAGGTGGCAGCCAAAGAGAGAGGCAAACGGAGCCACGTATCCTCGTAAAGGTTTCTTCCCCGTGACTGATTTCGGCTTCACCGCTTTATTTGCCCCGGGCTGGGAACACACTTTCCCCTCAGAGTTACAGATGTGGGAGCCTCTGATTGAACAATTTCAGTTTATCAATACCTGTGGGTACTAGGTTCCTGGGTGGTGGGGGGGTGGTTACTGCCAAGGAGAAAAGGAACAGTTGTGGAGACTAAAGTCCGAAGGGAACGTTCATGCTTTCCCAGGCTGGCTTGGCCTGTGGGAACTCCAGGTCTCATTATTTGACCCTCAGAGTTCCTTGTTTCCTTTATCCTTTATTTTCTTCAATTATTTATTGAGTGAGTGGCTTCAAAAAAGCGTTATGATCTCTGGAGAAACCGAGCAATGACTACAGAGACAAGTACTAACAAGAGAATTACAGTGAGCCTGGGCAATGCCTTTTAAACAAGATCCATTCTGAACTGGGATCAGCTGGAGCAGATCTCATCCCCACCCCAGCTCCGCACAAAGGGAGGTCTGGTATTAATAGGTTTGAAGAATACTGATTTGCCCAAAATGGCATGAACAGGGGAAGAAACTTGAAGAATCTCATTTTTGCAATCAAAATCCTTAAATCAACAGAGAGGGAAAATGATAGGAAAAGGAAAAAGAAAAATATAAAGAAAGGAGTGGTGATCCATCGCTCCCAGAATTAGTGGGGGTTCCATATGAAGTTCCAGAGAAAGATGGCTACTTTAGGATGCCATCTTCTTACGATGAACCCCTACAGAATTCTCAGTATTTGATCCTACACAGGTATGGATGTCTGGGATGTGAGCATATGCTGCTGCTTTAACTAAGAGACATGAACCCAAGGGCAGTTCCCAGGAGTTCCACTGTAGTGTTTGTGAGAAGGTCCCCAGGCTGAATGTCATGCAGCACTTCCTGTAATTCATCTTGGGGAAAAGCCACATGGGCTTAATGAAAATAAGCTAGGCCTCGAGGTTCTAGATTTGGCTGTATCAGCCTGTGAACAAGGATGGGGGTGATAACCCCGAATGCACTGGGCATCCGGCAGTCAGCGCACATGGAGTTAGTCTGCAAGTCCCTGTTACAATGGGACTATTTTATTAACTAACAGGATATTAATCTGCTAAAGGAAAACCTTTGACCACAGCAACTGAAGTTGCCCAGAGAGTTTTGCAAGTTTCCATGTTAATGGGCCACTCACCGCTCCTGATTTCTCTCAGGACTGGCAGCAATAGAACCCATGGGGCTCTGGATGACACGCACAGCCTTGCAGAGTCCTGTCATTATGTTTGGCTACTCGTGTGCCCCTAAGAGAAGATAAATACATGAGCATTACTTAAGTGGGAAGCACAAAGTCTCAAAGTTGCTTTGCTACTGTCAGAACAGCTATTTTATTGGGAAGGTAATGACTCCAGCCATCCATAAAACAGACAGCACTCTGTGATTAAGAGCATATTCATAATCACCCAAGGAGCAACCAAATGAAATCCACAGGCAGATGTTCTAAGTGTCTAATAGTTCTGACTCACATCCTCACCCCACCTTTATGGGTTTCAAAGGGTTTGGGCTTCATAACTGGGTCATGCACCCAAGATGCACTCTGTAATCTCATTGAGGTTTTCCTATTAACACTTATTTAGGACATTAAAAAATTTTTCCTTTCCATGGATGGTTGTAGCTTGTTTTTGGAGGACACTCTTTCAGCCTCTCAGTGCAGCCCAAATAACCATCTTGCTGCCGCCAGCTGCCGTCCAGGTGAGGCAAACAACCTGCTCTTTCCCAGTGTGTTTTCTCAGAATCAGGTGTTGGATTCTGGAATTGACTCGAGACCTGATGCCAATAGTCAGGAATTCATTCTGGCTTTTGAATCGTGGACTTGTTGGGCAGCCTGGATGTGACAGACATAGCTTGTTTAGGTATCTGCTAAAAAATGCATCTTTGCTTCTTGAACCTGCTTTCCTGTGGTTGCCTTGTTTAATTGGAGTGCCCCAGATGCCGTTAGGAATTAGCGTTTCTTCCAAAGCAAACCAAAACCTCAAAACCCTCCAAAAGCATTTCTGTACAGACATTTGCTCTCTTATCTCTAGCTAACGGGCAGGCTTTAGTAAGGGCTACAATTTTGGCAACTTGCAGAGATTTCGTGTCTTGGAGAGGGTTGGATCTGAACAAGACTTAGCGGGTTCTGGATTGCATACCAGCTCAACAGCTCTCTTGCTCAATTCTCAAACAGGACTCGTTCACAAATACCTCACAATTCATGTTGTCCAAAGGGTTCCAAGAGGCTCAGATAAAACAAGGAACAGTTCACGGAAGTGGGTTCTTTGTCCTCTGGGGGAAGAAGGGCAGCAGGGTTCAGGGTGTTTCAGCAATGGATAGAAATGTGTGCAAGCAAGAGCCAAAGGGTTTCAAAGGAAGGCAGTCTGGAAACAGAAAACTGTCCTGTGTTTTCTGTCAAAAGGAAGGTCAGAATGGCGTGAGGGGCCATGGGGTTAAGTGGAGATTCTAGAACTAAAATCAGCAGGATCCTTGGTTGGCCTTGAGCCGCCGTTACTGCATGCAAACAAGGAGTCAGGCTTTTGTCATGAATTCAAAGTGAAGATATAATAGGCAATGAATCTCTGATGTCCATTTTCTTGTTAAGTCAGAATCTGCAAAACTTGTCTCAGTGTACAAGTAGATTTATGATCATTGGTGAGTCCTTTATATCCTAAAGACCACTCTCCAGTGAGTGGATGGGATGCAAGGGTTCAGGGAGGCAGCCTTCATCAGCTTACAGGAAGCAGCCGCCGATGCAGAGGTTAGGACTCTCACGTCGGCAGTACCCTGCAGGACGAAGAAATCCTCTAAGTCGTCTTTTGCTGATTGTCTGGGAAGTCAGGAGGAGGTTCCAGTCTTTAAGAAGGGAAATAGATTTTGAATTTTTTTTTGCATGTCATGGCCAAGAAAGTGTACTTGGATCTGGTAAAACTGGATTTATCCTTAGAGACCGTGTCCCTTTACACTAACAATGTCAGCAAGCAGTAGAAATCAGTACTGTAAGACTCTCAATCTGGAGAACAAGCAGATCATCTGTGTATTGTATAAGAGTGGAGTCCTCAGGAAATTGGATGCCTCTAATGATCCAGGTATAGTTGAATATTTGCAAGAAGTGGATGTTTCTGGAAATCCTTGGGTAAAACTATCCATGTGTATTCTTGATTTTCTCAAGTGACGCAAATAGACACAGGGAGTCTGGAAGGAAGGATATGCTAATGGATGCTGAGCTGCGTTCCATTGCTGCAGAGTAAGTGGGGCTCTCAGGGATTGTGGACAGGAAGGTACTAGAGCTGTAGACAACAACGAAGCAAGGAGGTAAAATATCCCTGATGGCCCTTACATCTTGCACAAAGTGACAGCCACATCAACTTGTCTTTGTGACAGACAGGGGATATCACAAGGCTTAGTATGGGGACAGCAGGTCCTTTCTGGAGGCACATGGATAAAATGGGCCATAGTCCCGTAATAGACTCCTTTTTTTCAGTGGGTATTGGGCAGTTTCAGCCAGAATATAACTAGATTTATTGAGTTATTTACAGGTTTGGCCTCTTTTATGTGTCCCACACCTGAACCATCTCTGGTCAGGAGGCTACCAAGGGCACATTCAAAGGCAGATGTCCATACAGGAGGCACCAGGGAGAGGCATCAAGCCGTGCCTTTACCAGGTTGAAAGCCAGAGGTTCTTCTGCTTCTAAGAGTTCCAGAAACACTCCATCTGGTCCACATTTAATAAAAGCGCCCCATTCACAAAGCAAATATCATCCAACAGATTTACCACCTAGCTCCCCTTACCCCATGGGCGATACTTACCCATATCTACAGTCAGCCTCCCGCCAGCCCTGGCCTGCAAAGGAGAGCCCCCACTGAGCTTCTCAGCGATGCTGGCGTCCCTATGGCCAGAGAGTTATTAATGCCTTTGGTGAATGCTGTATTTCCTGGGCCCCCTCACGGTCTTTTGGCCTTACCCGAAATACCCATTATTGCTGCCCACTTCTCCCTCATTCTTTATTCCCTTGTCTGCCATCTGCCAGAGTAACTCAGGCTGTTCCCCTGCATTGAGGGCTACCCTTCCCTTTTCTCCAGGATTCTAAGAGCCACTCTTAGCAACAGGTTTGTCCCACTGTCACCTGGATTCCTAGTCAGTGTGTTAAATTCCAAGACCTGAGAAAGTTCCCTTAAGTCAATGAATTCTTGCATCTCCAACTTTACATTCCAACCCTCTTGATTGAACAGCCTCAAAATCCAGCCCGGGCGCCCCCCTGGCTCCTGCAGGCTTGTCAACCAGGTGAATTCTTGCAGCTCCTTTGCTCCGGAGTCTCTCCCTCCTCCCTCATCAGGCCCAGTATGTCTTTCACTAGGTCATGCTGGGATTTACCCAGGTTATTGGCCTGGTACTGATTTAAAATAGAGTGTGTTAATAGAAGATTTGCAGTATAGTAAGGCCAACAGATTGGAAAATAATTGCCATTGAAAAGACAGCTTATTGCTCAGTTTCCAACAGGAGGTGGCATGCCAGCCCTGGTGGAGGAACTGTGGTAAGAGCTTCAACAAGGTTTCTGGAGGAAGGAAGTGAAGCTGGGTAAGCAGACTTAGGATTGGCTGGTTTTAATCATTGCTGTGGGCTCTGGGGCCTGGAGTTGTCTCTAGTTGTCTGGTCCTGGCGGGTTTAGGGCAGGGGAAAATGGCCTTAAGTGTAAGAGCCTGATAGAGCAAGTGATTGAGAGTATAGGCTCTGGACTGATTGGTGTGTATTAGGAAAGGAATCCCCCCAAAGGTGCAGAAGGAGAGGAGGAGGACAGAAGGCCAAGGTGGGAGGCTCAGTTGCCATAAGAAGACATACCCAACATATGCATGTAGAGCAGATATTAAAGCATCAAATTTATAGGAGCTAGAAGCGTGGTTGATACAGGCAGCCATGAGAGGAGGTAGGGACAGCTGAGGTGGACACCTGTTTCCTTGCTGGAGAGAGGCTCCTGCAGCATCTTCCAGAAGTTCTAACTAGGGAGGGATGGGCCCTCTGCACACCCTGAGGTTCATGGCGTCTACAGAGCCAAACTCCTCAGAGACGTCCAACCAGGTATCCTCATCCCATATCTCAGGGTCCCTTGTTTTCCCACTCACACACCTGACCTTAGTATTGCATACCTGTGTTGGCTGAGCATGCAAACCTGCCAGTTAATGGGCCTCGATTCTTTATTATCCCTCTGCAGGGCAGAGCCATACAGGTTACCTGAACTAGCTGATTCTGCTGGCTTGACGAGAGGCACTGTCCCTCTGCCCCTCCCGTCTTTCAAATGCCTGTGTCATGGCACCTGCGAGGCACCCTTGCAACCAGGCTGCTTCCTTGTTCCAGGGACAACCCAGGCCCAACCCTTCACTTGGCACATTGTGTTTTTCACCCGTTGTGTGCTGAGTGACCCAATCCCAAAACCCCTAACTTTTCGCCAGGTTTCTGGAATATTCTTGGTACAGTCTACATTATTGTGGGTCTGCCAAGAAGCAGACACCAAAATGGGATTAGATATACAAGAAATATACTGAAGGAAGGAGCAGGAGAAAGCAAGAAGATACTTCAAATCACAGTGCACATCTGAAATCTGTAGGAGAGTGGAGAGGAGGAGCATTGGGTAGAAGTTTTGGACTGAGGAATTCAACAGCCGGTCGGCCAAGCAGGTGGGAAATTCTGTCATCAGAGTCGCCCTCAGGAGGAGCCTTGCACTTCAGAATGAGCCTGTCCCACTCTTCCTGCTCTACTGGGTCACTGGATTGGAGCAGCTAGTAGGAAGCACGGCCTTGACATAAACATGATGGAGGATCCAGATAGCATCACGTAGGCCATTCTTAAGTGAGTCGTCAAATGCACTCTAACAGATGAAGAAACATAATGTTCACCCTAATCAGCTTACCCAAACTCAAATTAACCTGTACAAAGTAGGTTATATTAAATATAAATGTATCACCATGTAAAATGATCCTTGATGATAGGATGATACATTTATATGGAATTATATTTATTACCCTTTAAAAAAAATCACCCCAGAAGATTACCATCACATTTGCACATGTAGCTGAATAGAAAGGTCCCTCGCCATCCTTTGCTCTGGGTCTTCTCTCAGCATGCTGTATCGTTTCTTACGTTTCTGTCTCAGATATCCTCAGACAGCCTGTCATCCCAAAGCCTGCACTCAGAATAGCAGGCATTTTACAGATCATGGGAGCTATAATGCTATGAAGTTTCACCCATTCACTAATTCATTCTTCCATGTTTTTA